ATTAATTTTATAGTTAATACTTATAGTTTTTCTAAACATATTTATTATTTTTAAATAATAATTTTAATTAATAACATATAATTATTTTTATAATTAGATAATTCATATATTTATTATTTCTTTTTTAAATCTGTAATTGTTAGTTATAATTATACAAATAAACGATGTTTATTAAACAAAAATATATAAATCATCGACGTTATGTACAGTACAAAATACAGAAAAAGCAACATAGAGTTTTCGTTCTAAGAAATTGATTATGACATATATATGAGAGTGGTGTGCACCAGCGAAGAAAAAAATTATGCTGTAAAGCAAATAGGTTATTTTTGAATAAATACTCGTGTAAAGAAATCTAGAGAGAGCGTACTTTATTTTCCTTCTATCCCTTCTGACGTGATGCTTTCGATTTATTACATTTATTTGCGCATTTGAAATTGCATACATTAATTTTACAGATTTTATGATTTGAAATTCCGTTATATAAATTCCGGCCTGTGCCCCTCTACCTGTCTGGATCCAGAGCTTCTCCTTCTCATTGGCTCTGGTTCCCACTTACGAATAACGCGTGTGAACACTTTTAATGTGATGGACGTACAGTACAAGTACAGTTATCACTAGGTGTAACACTTTAAAATAATCCATAAATTAAAAATAAAAGCAACCATTATTTTGTTCTTTATCAGACTTAATTATAGTAAGTGAAGCATCTTTATTTATATGTTATACTGTATATTAAAAGTTTTCAAAATAATTTCTTTAAAATTTCCTAGAATGTAATCAATTAATCACTTTGTTTCTGAAAAATTTATAATTAAATTTAGAAAACAATCTAGAGTGCTTTTAAGAATAAAATTATTAAAAATATTATATATTCTATAAAATACGATTTACAGTTAAATATAAACTATGCAAAAGAAGTTTAAATCTTTCAATAGGCCTATTATACAGTAAATTACATCTTTACTTTACAATTTATAACCAGAAAGTTTTTAAGATAAATTCTCTTTTATAAGTTTGAAAATTTCAGTTTAATGTCGAAAGAATTACAGCAATAATTTGACCCATCTGACTGTCAGAACAGATCAAATCTCTTTCTGATATAAATTCAAATATGTTAATAACATATTCCTGAATGTTGAATTATCTTCAATAGTATTTTTCAGCAAATTTTAATGTAATTTTTAAATTATATTTAAATAAATACAGTATCAATATTTAAACATTGAGGAATATTGAGAGCAACATTACGCAAGAATTAAATGATCAATATTTAAATAAATTTTAATTGTTTATAATTTAAAATTAATTTTTATTCAAGATATTTTCTTATGGATGATAATTATGCAAATGAAAACGATTTAATAAATACAGTACTTTAAATTTTATTTTAAATAGTTAAAATTCTTCTAGAAAGAGCGTTATCAATCAAATCAATTTATGAATATTCGAATAAGGATAATAAATATTCTAAATTCTATTATCAAATCCATTTATAACATTGATTGATCACGAGAGAAGTCCAAGCAATACGTAAATGGAAGAATTCTTTAAGAACTAGTATTTTATATAATAACAACTTAAAGTATCAGTAATGGGATCATATTTTCTGATAATATTATTAGATAACATCCTCCATTTTGCTTGAAGATATTTTCTATTGATTGGAAATGCATTTAATATATAACGGTTGTAGTCGGATGAATAAATTCTTATATATTATAATACAAGTTATTTATAGAATATACATTTTTTATATTAATTTATTAATTATAGATTTATTGGCGCATTCTTCTTTGCTTTCTTTTGGTTCATTGAGTATTAATTATTGAAGTTTCTGTAGTAATGCATTAGTTTATCTTAATATTTCATACGAAGTACATAAAATTGATGGAAAGTTAAGTGATGGTTGTTAATATTGAGGTATATAATAAATGCACATGTCACTGCAAGAATTTTTAATAGAAAATATCAATTTTTATTGTTCTTAAATTGAAATAATACATAAAGATGTTAAATTAAATGTATTCAATTTAAAAAACAATTTCGTTAACTTTATATAAGTAAAATTTAATGGGATGAGATGATACCTTATGCTACTATTTAATTCTATCGATATAATTCTTTTTGTTTCTGAAAAGTTTTGAAGATTTAAACAGATAAAATCAATATAAAAAGTACTTTCATTTCAAGCTTTAAATAAGGGC